GCAAGTGCATTGACAAGAGCAACAGCTATGAGTGCACCTGCGAGCCGGGGTACACAGGTAAGAGCACGGCGTGGCAGCCACCGCGGCACCCTGGGGACCTGGTCCGGATCTAGCCTCGGGCCGGGGAGCCCTGGGATGTCCCCTGTGCCCGCGGCGGTGCAGGGATGCCTGCAGCTGGTGGTGCCCCATGCCACCAGGGCGAGGGTGCAGTGAGGACAGGAGATGCTGCCATCCCACTTGCCGGAGGTTTTGCACCCTCCAGTGCTCCTGCTTGTTCAGGAGGGTGACCCCGGCTCAGGCCGAAATCAAAGGGGTGTCTGGTGCTGCGAATTCGACTCCCGCTGCGCCCACTCCCATGGGTATCAGGTTGCTGCCTTGTCCGACTGGTTTGTTTGATCGCTGCTGGAAATGGCGGAGGGCTTTGATGGGAGCAGCCCCCGCCTCTCCCCACTCGCGCGGCCCCTTGTCCTCCTGCCCGCCGGGAGCCGCACTAAAGCCTGGCTTTGTCGGCCACAGCAGGTAGGGTTACAGGCTGAAACTGGCTCCCTTCGTTATTCCCTCCTGGACCAAATGAGCCCAGGGCACGGCCTCTTCCCAGTCACGTTTAATTAAGCCAGGCGGGCGATGCAGGGGTGTGAAGTCACCTACCTGGAGGGCAGCCTGCTCCTGCACAGCCAGCACACATGTGCCTGGAGATTCGAGCCTCCGGCAGACATTTCCCGGGTGGCTGGAGGGGGTCCTGCCCGGTGGGTGTCCCCTGGGAGGCGGCACGCGCCCACCATGCCGCGCTGTGCCGTGCATCCTAGGGGGTAACGTTTCCTCACACCCCCCCCTTTCACAGGCCGCATGTGCAACATCAACATCGACGAGTGCTCCAGCAACCCCTGCCACAACGGGGGCACGTGCAAGGACGGCATCAATGGCTTCACCTGCCTCTGCCCCGAGGGCTTCCATGACCCCAAGTGCCTGTCCGAAGTGAACGAGTGCAACAGCAACCCCTGCATCCACGGGAAATGCCACGATGGGCTGAACGGGTAGGCTGGAGGGCGCGGGGGCTGGTGGGACCAAAGGGCCACCCTGCAAAATCGGGGTTAGAGGCAGGGGGAGCAGCTGTGAACCATGCCGGTGCTCATCCATGCTCTGTGCTAGTGCCAGGGGATGTTTCCCTGCAGGGGCACAATTGAGGAGCTGGGGTTTGCTGGGTAAATGACGGCTGGTGTAGCCAGGAGGGCCAGGTCAGACCAGATCCCATGCTTTATGCCCCAATTTTTCCCCAAAGCTACAGGTGTGACTGCGACCCAGGCTGGAGTGGGACAAACTGTGACATTAACAATAACGAGTGCGAATCCAATCCCTGTATGAATGGTGGCACCTGCAAGGACATGACCAGCGGCTACATCTGCACCTGCAGGGAGGGCTTCAGCGGTAAGGGTGCAGCCAGGGACGCTGCCCCATCCCCGCCACGCTGGGGCCTGGGTGGGAGCTGTGGGTGGGCATCCCTGTCATGCTAGATGGGCTGGAGGCTTCACTGTGAGGATGGAGGAGACCCCGGGTC